TGTCTGAGTTTTTATTCTTCATATGTAATTTAAAAGCAAGCTTTTCTTTATAAAAACTTCAATTGAATTTCAATAAATTTAAAGGCATGGCCTTACTGTTAATATTTAAAAAAAAAAAAAAACAAAGGACAAAAGCACTAGTTAACTTATTTTGTTATATTAAACTTAAGCTTTATAATCAATAACACTATACAACAATTCTTTAATTCTAGCAGACTAAAAATTAAAAACACTAAACTATAAAATCTATATAACCAAATATTCAATCATTAATATTTAATTTTTTTAATAACTATACCTTGAATAATACAAATGTTTATACAATTCTATAAGAATATGTTTTTTAACTATTTATTTAAACAATTCAAGAATATATAGATTTTAGCTAAATTGCAACTAACATCATCATCAAGTTTTTAATAAAACTATTAAATAATATATTTAATCAAATATGGAATCTATATTGTACAAAATTAACTAATTGAAAGCAACAATACAATATACTTACTTAAGTTATATATACTTAAACATATATCTATAATAACTCAAACATACAAAATACATACATTATCCTAAATTACTATATACTTACAACTGTACTTGTAGCTTGGCAGACTAACAACATATAAAAGATAAATACAATATTTGCTTATCTATAGGAATAGCTTAAAAAAAACATTTATTTGAATATCTAAATAAATGAAATATAGTATCTTAACCAATAAAATTATCAATTATCAAATTAGTAATACTTTAACTAACAAAATCTGAATGAGCTTTAACTACTTTAGTAAGTTTAGGTTGCAGATAAATTAATTAAACAAGGTAGTCTTAGTATATCTATAGTTTACATTTCATTTTTATAAACAATTTGTAAATCCTATCTTTGATCAAAGAAAATTCTTATGGATTCTTAATACAAATAATAATAAATATAAAATTAAAATCTTACCTTAAAAATAATAAAATAAAATAAAATTTAAAATTGAATTTTGTAAAGTAAAATAAAATACTAAAATTTTTTTATATAGTTAACTCTTTAAACAATAATATTAATTTAATTAACAAAAATAATAAATTGCTGCAAATTTTTAAAAAATATAAATCAGTACTTTGTAATTTGTATAAAATTATAAAGAAACAAAAAAGTGCAAATAATATTTAATAGACACAATCTGTTTAAGAAAGTTTCAAAAGCATACAAAATTTAATAATAAATGTTAAATTATATAAAAAAATATAATGTTTCTAAATTAATAAAATGTAATAATAAGAATTTAAAAATTATTAAAATTTTTATTAATTCAAATTTTTAATAATCTTATAAAGCTACTTAATCTTCAACAACTAAGAATTAATTTTTTCAAAGAAAAATATATTATTAATTATTCTAACTTAAATCAAAAGTAATTGTTATCAAATTTTTAGTATATTAATAAATATAATTATTTGAGTAAATTTTGACTAATAATTTAAAACAGCTATCTAAAGTTAAAATATTCTTTTATTGACACAAAAATATGTACAAATTCATAATATAAAAAAATTAAGCAAGAATAAAAATATGATCAGTAGGTATTTTAATTAATTAAATTTTTAAAACTTCTTGGTAATTTTTAAAAAAGAATTTTATTGCTTATAGTATAAAAGCAGATGTTAATTTTTTTTATTAAATCTAAAGTTTTATATAACACTATATTTACTAATTAAATAGCCAGGTGCTTTAAATTCTTTGGTGCTTGTAAACTTAATAATTTTGCTTTTTTAAATCTGTCATAATATGTTAGATATTGAAAATGAAAAATATTAACAAAAGGCTTTTTGTGAAAATAAACTAAAATTTTCTAAGAAAATAATAATAATAAAAGAAGCATATTGAGCTCTTGAGTTATAACTTACAAAATAAACTCGTTTTTCCACAACATAATTATTTTTTAAATTCAAAATTTATTCAATTTATAATTATCATAATGATAGACAAACTTATAAAAATTCTGATGTAATAATTTATTTTCAAAGTTCTGGAAGTTATAAAATTCAAATTTATACAAAGATATCTCGATGATTACCTGATCAAACTCGACGAAAATTTTTGATTTAAATTCTTAGAACCTGTAAAATCAAAAAAAAAATTTATTGAATTTAGTCAAGTAATTTCGAGATATTTTCGTTCAAACTTTTAAAAAAATTTGGCATGACATAAATTTTTTATTGAAGTTTAAGTTTTTTAAGACTTTGTGCAAAGATAACTCGATAACTACCTGGCCAAATTTAATGAAAATTTTTTTGTTGAATCATACGAATCAGTAGAATTAAAATTAAAAATTAAAAATTTTGATCAGGTATTATCGAGATATCTTAAATTTTTAAGAATTTTTATTTTGTCTAAAGATTTACTATGATACCGTAAAATTCCATTGGTCGAAATGTATTACAAATCTTGTGTGTTGTAGGGGTAGTTTCGAAATTTTCAGGAGCGTTACATCCTGAAAATACTAAAACTACGTCTTTGATTCTTTTGTTAACATTTCATCAAAAATTTAATTTCAATCAAATTTCAGTTATCAAAGCGTATAGAAGTATAATCCTTGCTTCGTTCCGGACAATAAGTCGGTGTAAAATAATATTGAATCAGCAATAGAATTAGAGATAATATTTTATGAGAAACATATTGCTGAAAATTATCGATTCGATTATTGGATTATTCGAATAGACAGGAGGAACCGTCGATGTTACACGACTGATTCTTCACCCGGTGTGAAACATATAAAAAAATCATTTTACAATACCAGATCATTCCGCTAGTACATGCTATGATTATAATCCCACACCATTTTATTATAATAAAAATGGTGTGGGATTATAATCATAGCATGTACTAGTGGAGCTAATTTTAGATTCAGATATGTAACTGGTACTATTATAAATATCAAATTAAGTTGGGTCGCAATCACATATTCACGATTTTTTTTTTTGTTAACTATTCTATCTTGCTATAATAGTCTTTTATGGGCCTGGCTTGGGCCGGGCCTAGTTTAAAATTAAAATCCGCCCATCCCGTATTTACGGACTTTTTTTCTGTGGACCGGGCTTGGTTTTGAGCTCATACAAGCCCGACCCATTCCGCTCCTACGTCATAGTATTAATTAGTGTGAAGGTTAAAGAAATAGATAATATCAGCGATTCGTTATTCAGCATAATTCTAAACATGTTAACTAAATCGATCTATAAGCTCTTTATTATAATTAAATCCAAGAACCTTATTATGGGCATAAAAATTACTTTTATATAAAACATTTATTATTGAAATTAATTTATATACTATAAAGCTACTGGTCATTGAGAAATAAAAATTGTCCAGCTACAGCACCAAAAATTACCAACCATAAGGATAGATTAGGTTTTTTAAATCCATATAAAACAGCTAATGTTAAAACGTACAACACAGCAGCAAGACTACTATTTTTTGCTTCAATAGCAGCTAGTTGTTGTGGTGGTATATTGACAAGACCCGTAGGAGATGATATTGAAGATTGGAGTAGATCCATTGCGGTTACAGCAATAATTCCAACTACAGTACCAGAAATACCATCAAAAAATGCCGCTAAGAAATGATTACGAACCAATTTTTCAAGTATATTATGTCCTAATATCGTAAATACAAAGCATGGGAATAGTATTCCTATGGCTATGAGTGTTCCACCTAGAAATCCATAGCCTATACTATGACCGCCCCAAAGATAACCAGCCTGAAAACCTATAAATGTTGAGAACATTACTAATGGTGAAGGAATTATGTTACCAATGGCTATAGAATCGAGGAATGTTGTTACAGTCATCCATTGTCCTATTGTTACGGCTTCAGCTATAAGATATTAAAATTAATCAATCAATCAACTAAAAATCCTAAAATGAAATCAATCAGGAATAAAATAAACATTAAAGTGGTATACCTTTTAAAAATGGTATTGTCGTCTTAAAAAAAAAACATTTATTAAAAAATGAAGTGAAAAAAACGAATTCTAGGACAAGAAATGAAAGAAACATTGATCATTGGTAAAACTTACATAAGCACCACCAAAAGACAGGCTGCCAGCAACAAGTCCTAGAGCGAAAGTGTGACCAGGATCAGGTCCAGAGCCAGAATCAGCTTTAGCCACACCAACACCCAAAGCAGAAAGTGATGGAATATCCTTGTTGATTCCAATATAAATCCCATAACCAATTATTTCCAAAGCAATTACAATTAAACCAAGCCAATATATTTTTCTTTCAATAAACATAAATGCTATACCACATACACCTAAAGTTATGAAATAATTAAATCTTAAAGCGGATTGAATTGCAGCTAAAATTGCCATGCCAAACAACCAATAGCTAAAACGATGAGTAGTATGTGATATTAGCGCATGGTCCGCAATTTTGTGTACAGCTCTTAAAACCATTGCAGCTACAATCGGTTGTAAAGCTCGAAAAGAAGCATTGAAACGATCATTTGTAAGGCCAACTAAAACGTAAAGATAAGAAAAGATTAAAATCAAAACAAAGCCAGGTAAAACGAAACCCAAGCCACCGAGGAAACCGCCAAATCGACCACCGGAAAGACAGCCAAAGAACATGCATAATTCAGTAGCTTCAGGACCGGGTAAAATCTGATAAACACCAAAGACTCTATTAAATCTTGGTATAGTTATCCATTTTTCTTTGATTACCAAAACATCCTTAATTAGCGCTATTTGAGCCACGGGACCGCCCCAAGCATTAAATCCAAACCAGAGATTAAGTAAAAATATTCTTAGGTAGGATAATTTTGGAACTTTTGAATTGTCTTCAAATTCATCGCTTGGAAGTTCAATTTCCTTTTCAACATAATTAGGAGGGTATACATCATTTTCCTTTTCTTTCGTTTCATCACTTTCACTTTGATTAGTCAAAGTTGGAGTTATTGTAACTTTAACATCATCATTTACCACATTGTTTTCTTGTTGTTCAGGATTGATATCGTTTTGAGAGCTCATTATTAATAAACTAATTAATTAATCATAAAAAAAAATTTTTTTTGGTTTGATAGAAAATCAGTTAAGATTTGTAATAATTATCCTGTATATGTACTTTTTTTGAAGATAGGATTGATTTGTCTGATAACGCAATTAATAGTTAACAAAATTTTTAATTTGGTTTTTTTTTTGATAAAATTTATTTATTCAGATAATAGTACAACAAACAATAATTTTTAATTCTTTAGGTTATGTGACACGAGAATTGCTAATTGAAAACAAAGCATGTCTTTTCCTTAAAAATCAATTTTGTGACTATATCATATGCACTACTATTGTACTATTTTGTTACATTTGCATACATAAAAATTCATTTAATACGATAAAATTCATCTTATCAGTTCCTTGTTTGTTAATAGAACTTTTTATTGAATACAAATAATGTGTAATTGACATATCATACCTCTCCAAAGATTATAGGGGACCCAAGGGGATAAATTATTTATTTATAATGGAATAAAATTCCTACGCTTCCAAATATCTAGTGCCGCACTCAAATTTATCGGAGTTTTCCGGACTAACCCTTAAATTGTTTTTCGTCAAGCGCATAGCATATTTCAAGATACACAATGATAAAAATTAAAGTGGTACAGTGGGTCTGCACTAACTGCACATTTATACTGTATTGAAATCTGTTTAGGAAACATTATCAAGAATAAATATAATAAAACTTTAAATTTACGACATTTGAGCTGTTCAAATACTTTATTTTAATTTAATATTTTAAAATAATACATATGTTGTTATCGTCTTGGGAGGTTTGTATACATTGATACCGAGTTTAGCAGGAGTTTAGTCCAAAGCAAATAAATTTTTTATAGTGGTAAGCAAATTATTATTTTTAATTATAGAAAGGTTTTTTTTGGATCTCTTACAGTATAGGTGACACCTACATTTAATTAATAGTGTCACCTATACGGCAAAGGATCTTTTTTTTTATTAAGATCTAGGGAAGTTTTTATAACTCGAAATAAATAACCTATAGGCTAAACATAACCGTTTAAACATACCTTCATCTAACTTCCGAATTACTTCGCGGATTACCGAATCACTTTGATAGATTATAAATCAAGACGTAAACGTTCTAATTTTTTTGTCTTGCCCTTTCTGAATTTTTATTAGCCTGCTATGCTATCTCACAATTATCAAAAATTAAATACAAAATCACGAAGATTCCGTAAATCCGAAATATTCTGTAAATCCGAAAGACACCTTAAATACAAAAAATTACGCAAATCCCGTAAATTAGGTTATTGGATAACTGCTTAGTCAATGTTTTAGTCGCCTGACATTTATAATGTTGACTTACACAGGTTAAATGAACAAATATAAAATAAATTCAGGATATCTCGATATTCAAAAATAATAACTTGACGAAAATCTAATATTTATTTTTTAAAACCAACATGCTTAAGATTTCTGGCGTAGAAAAGTAACTATGGGATTAATATTAGACAAACTAATATATGGCATGGCATTATCAATCAAAACGTACCATAGTGAGATTAAAAAATTGTTACATAGGTACATTTCTATGTTGATGCCTTGCATAGTTTATTATACCGGGCAAGTTGTTACAAATAATCTATTACGATTAATAGTACGTACGTACTGTACATACGTGTGTACGTTATATTATAGATATTGGATATATATTAGTAAAACTGATACAGAAAATATATTTTATTTCTATCTAGATATTTATTTATGGGTGTTTTTTAAATAGACATTATGTTTAAGTTATTAACCTAGATACATATTTAAGTTATTAATCTAGACACTCTATATAAATTAAATTAATAATATGTTTAAAAATATAAAGAAAATTTATAATATATATTATATATTGTTTTTCAGTAAATCAGTGAGTCAGTCACTAATTTCTTTCAATTCTCATGTAGCCTATAGTGTCAGGTTATAAGCCAACCTGAACTTAACCTGAAATTTTAGGGTTAATATATTAAAATTTTTTAAAAAATGAATCCAGACACACATTTTGCTTTTAAAATTCATGTAATAATGACTATAGAAGTTGGCTAATCAAATCTAAATTCAATATGCTTTATAACTACTATAGTAATAATTCTTTTCATAATCAAGCTAATCTTTTAGCTAATCAAGATATTTCTAAACACTTAATTAAATCTAACTTTACAACATTGCTTCCTGATCATTTTAAATGATGTAACTATATAATACCTACTAAAACCCAATTATTCTTACAAAACACAATTACTATACAATCATTATTTTCTTGATCACAACACAAAATCTTTCAAAACCTATTTTCTATTAAATAGTCAACATATATTGACATTATCAATTTTCTAAATAATGATTAAAAATTTTATATATTCTGATTTAAAATTATTAATAACAATCTATTTAACATATTAAATCTTAATTTACAATATTTATTCTTATATAATATTCTAAATTGTATCTATTATCAAATTTATGAAGATATATCATATTTTTTTACATGTTCCAAATAAAAATATAATCTTCAACAAATTTTTTGAACTTTAATTTTAAATAATATTCTACAATTAAATATCTCTTTTGAATTTTTTGACAAAATTTATACTATCTTGTCATAACAAACAAACATTTTATTATATTCTTATTTTCTTAATCTTATTGAAAATTTCTTCTTTATATCTTAATATGATAATATTAAAATATTATTTCATAAAACAATAACATTCTTTTTCATAGCCCTATCAAATACTTCTTTAAATTAGTTTTATTAATATATATGATTATTACATAATATTTTTTAATAATAATGAAAAAAAACTTATAACATAACTAAAAAATCTAAATATTTTAAAATATATTCTTTAATTCTTTTTTTTTATCTAATTCTAATACTACTAATACACCTATTATAAATCCAAATATATCTATTAAAAACTGATTAATTCTAGGCTATACACTTACTATCTGTATTTACTAAATACTAAAACTATTACCTTAAGTTTTTTTCAATCTTTCTATACTTAAAATTAATTTGAAATAATTAATAATAGTGTTATATAGAAATAGAAGTGTAATATCATATTGGGTATCTTAAAAGTAATACAAATATAATTTAGAAATCTTTAATATAATTACTTCTATTACCTAATAAAGTTTCTACTTTGGCATAACAAAAAAAAAAATTTAATTAATTAGATTAGCTGAAAAATTATTTAGTTAATTTTTGTCAAATATTTTAGAATTTATAATAATAGCTGTAATTTTAATTTAAACCATCCCAATCTGAAATTTTCAAATAAAATTTTCTAACTTGAACCTAATTCAATCTGAAATTTGAACTTAGGTTTCAAGTTAATCCAATTCAATTTAAAGTACTAATAGTGTTATATGAATATATTGTATTAATATTATTTTAATTTTTATTAGATTTGAATAAATGACAACTATTACTTATACTAGAAAGTAATTTTCTAAAAATTAGCATAATAGAACTATCTCTTCTATATTTTATATTATATATTCATATAATTGTATTAGTACAATCAAATTTAGTTTTATATATTCTATTATAATAAAATACTACATTAACATATATCAATCTATTTAAGAAATAAATACTTCTTCAACCCAATTTGACTAATAGCAGTTTAAGAGAAAACTATATCTACCAAAATAACTTAATAACTCCAAATAACTCAAAGATAAATTATTAATATATCACTTCTTAACCAATACATAAAACTAGATATACAACCATCTATATTACCAAAACTTTGCAACTATAACTTTTAATTTAAATACAACAAATAAATCTATATAATAAAGCTATTTTAATCTACCAACATTTAATACATTAGTAATAATAAAATAAGTACAAAATATTTAATAAAAAATAGTCTAGTTACTCTGTATTCTCTTTAACTAACAATAATAAATTTGTGCTATAATTTTTATTACATTTTAAATTACTATTAGTATTGACAACTTGGTTAAATACAAATTATTCATAACATCTACTTATTAATACTTTTATAAGTAATTAGTCTCAAGTTCAAACATACAAATACTAGAATTTTACAATCGTTATATATAACTCCAAATAGTATTTGTACTAGTAAAAATACATTTAATGTATTTACAATATACAAACAATCTCATTAAATTATAATCATAATACTAATATATGAGTAATAAAAAGAAAAAACCTGTAAATCATTTCATTTATTGAGTAAGATGATTTACAGGTTTTTTTTTTTGTAACTCATATAGCAAACTATTATGAACATACTTAAGCAGATGTTAATTACATAATTTTTGTCAAATGCTAACTTTATTATATTTATATTCTTTCTAGTAAACAAACTTACATACTATACCAGAGCTTTCTACAAATTATAAATTAAAAAAAAAAAAATACTTAAAAAAATTAAAATCACTATATACAAAGCTTACTAGAACAGACTTACATTTTTATCTTCTATATCTAATTAGATCTGCCAAAAGTAGCTACTTCAAGTATCTAAAATAGTTATTCAAAATATTTAAAATAATTATTTTAAATGTTTAAAATAGCTGTTTTAAATATCTGAAATAGTTACTTCTAATATTTGAAGTACTATACAGGTCAAATGAATGAATAAAGGATGAATAATAGGTAAATAACAGAAAAAAAAACTGCCATTATTCTACCCTATATTCACCAAATAATGGCAGCATAACAGCAGCATAACAGCAGAATAACAGTAAAATAACAGGAGGTTTGTCAAT